CCTCATGGAGCTTTTTAAACACAGCCTCGAGATGTTGCAGATGTTGTTCAATGGTGTTAAAGATCACTATGATGCCATAGATATAAACAAAACAGTTTTTTCCTGAGTTCTCTGAGAACTGTTTCCATTAATCGCTGGAAGGTGGCGCCGGCATTCCTCAGACCAAAAGGCATTATCTTAAACTGGAACAAGCCTTTATGAGTTATCATGGCTGTTTTTTCCTTGCTCTCCTTGCTCATGGCAACCTGCCAATAGCCACTCTTGAGATCTAAGGAACTGAAGAATTGAGCAACTTGCAGAGACTAGTGGCATAGAATATGCATCATGAAGAGTCTTTGCAATGAGTTCACGAAAATCCACACAAAAGCATGGTGTGCCATCTTTCCACGACACCAACACCAATGGCGCTGCCAATGCAGAAGTTGATGGCTCGATTATGTTGTTTTGCAGCATTTTTCCCAGTTCAGCCTCAATAACAGCTTGTTTTTGGGGTGACACCCTGTAAGCTCGCTGTCTCACAGGAAGCTCGTCGGATATCACAACATGGTGGCTAATGACCTCGGTGGCTCAAACAGCCTCTGTCCAAACGGTGGGCCACTTCTGCAGCAGCAACCGCACCTCTTCAGGCTGGTCTTTCAAAAGAGGGAGAGCAGGCATTTTAGCCTGTGAGTTTTCCACCACAGCCAGCCAGGTAAAAACTGACACATAACTGTGCATCCTTCTAACACAGCTCATCTCGTGATCTGACCTTGAATTTTTATTCTTTTCCATCCGGCAACCCATAACTCCTGAGATGTGGCTTTAGGACAATCTGACTGGCGTTCATAAAGTCCAACCCAAGTAACAGTGGCATACAAAGCTGCTCATCATTTATGATGTGCACAGGGATGGTGATGGAGATGTCATGAAATTGCAGCAGTAGTACAGTTTTTCCCTCTGCCTGACTTTCTTGTCCATTAGCCATGGCAAACTTTGGTACCTCACTTCTACTCAGTGTTTTCCCAGGTGTTCTTATTCTCTTCCACAGGCTTTGTCTAATGAGAGAATAAGTACATCCAGAGTTGAGGACAGCATCTCATGTAGTTCCCTGGATAGTTACAGGAACCACTAACAAGGACAATACTGCCTGAACTGCAGACACCTCTCCACCATGTCCCTGGACTTGGCTGTGCGCAGACTTTCTACCTGTTTTCTTTGTTCTGTCCAAAGGGTGGGCCTGCTGCACTCTACTCCAGTAATCCTGAGAGTTGCTCCAATCCCTTTCGATCAGCGACCCCACTTTCAAAAGCTGTTCCACTGTGGTTAAGATGCCTCTTAGACCACTGGCCAACCTAGGGTTTTGCCTGGCTGTAACATGCTGGTGGAGGCATGCATCTTCCGGCAGAGTGGAAGGTTGCAGGTCAAAAATCCTGAGGGATGCTGTAAGCTGATCAGACGCAGACTCCTCAGAGGAGGAATCCAAATGATTTGAAGCAGATATAACGAGTTAAAGTCCTCTAGGCGCTGAAATGTGATGCTGTATGCAGAAAAATCAGTATTTGTATAATAGATTTATGGATGTAATATATGTAAAATATGTTGACTCCACAAATGGCAGAAAAAATCAACAACTTGCATTTAAACTATACCAAACCCTTAAAGTTCACCATATACTTCCCCTGCACCAAAAAGTTACAAACAATAATTTGGGCCATCAACACTTGTAAATGAAAACAAAATCAACTGAGAGTGGTTATAAAGTAAAATACTTATGCCTGAATTGATTTATCTTTACTCCACAGTCTAACAAACATCAACCAAAAATTATACATACAGGTCCTTCTCAAAAAATTTGCATATTGTGATAAAGGTCATTATTTTCCATAATGTAATGATAAAAATGAAACTTTCAAATATTTCAGATTCATTGCACACCAACTGAAATATTTCAGCTCTTTAATTGTTTTAATACTGATGATTATGACATACAGCTCATGAAAACCCAAAATGCCTGTCCCAAAAAATTAGCATATCATGAAAAGTTGTCTAAACAAGCTATTAACCTAACCATCTGAATCAACGACGTAACTCTAAACACCTGCAAAAGATTCCAGAGGCTTTTAAAAACTCCCAGCCTTGCTCATTACTCAAAACTGCAATCATGGGTAAGACTGCCGACCTGACTGCTGTCCAGAAGGCCATCATTGACACCCTCAAGCAAGAGGGTAAGACACAGAAAGAAATTGCTGAACGAATAGGCTGTTCCCAGAGTGCTGTATCAAGGCACCTCAGTGGGAAGTCTGTGGGAAGGGAAAAGTGTGGCAGAAAACGCTGCACAACGAGAAGAGGTGACCGGACCCTGAGGAGGATTGTGGAGAAGGGCCGATTCCAGACCTTGGGGGACCTGCGGAAGCAGTGGACTGAGTCTGGAGTAGAAACATCCAGAGCCACCGTGCACAGGCGTGTGTAGGAAATGGGCTACAGGTGCCGCATTCCCCAGGTCAAGCCTCTTGTGAATCAGAAACAGCGGCAGAAGCGCCTGACCTGGGCTACAGAGAAGCAGCACTGGACTGTTGCTCAGTGGTCCAAAGTACTTTTTTCGGATGAAAGCAAATTTTGCATGTCATTCGGAAATCAAGGTGCCAGAGTCTGGAGGAAGACTGGGGAGAAGGAAATGCCAAAATGCCAGAAGTCCAGTGTGAAACACCCACAATCAGTGATGGTCTGGGGTGTCATGTCTGCTGCTGGTGTTGGTCCACTGTGTTTTATCAAGCGCAGGGTCAATGCAGCTAGCTATTAGGAGATTTTGGAGCACTTCATGCTTCCATCTGCCAAAAAGCTTTATGGAGATGAAAATTTCATTTTTCAGCACGACCTGGCACCTGCTCACAGTGCCAAAACTACTGGTAAATGGTTTACTGACCATGGTATTACTGTGCTCAATTGGCCTGCCAACTCTCCTGACCTGAACCCCATAGAGAACCTGTGGGATATTGTGAAGAGAAAGTTGAGAGACGCAAGACCCAACACTCTGGATGAGCTTAAGGCCGCTATCGAAGCATCCTGGGCCTCCATAACACCTCAGCAGTGCCACAGGCTGATTGCCTCCATGCCACGCCGCATTGAAGCAGTCATTCATGCAAAAGGATTCCCGACCAAGTATTGAGTGCATAAATGAACATGATTATTTTGAAGGTTTGTGTTTTTTGTATTTAAAACACTTGTCTTTCATTGGTGGGATGAAATATGCTAATTTTTTGGGACAGACATTTTGGGTTTTCATGAGCTGTATGCCATAATCATCAGTATTAAAACAATTAAAGACCTGAAATATTTCAGTTGGTGTGCAATGAATCTGAAATATATGAAAGTTTCATTTTTATCATTACATTATGGAAAATAATGACCTTTATCACAATATGCTCATTTTTTGAGAAGGACCTGTATAGCAGCCAAACTCCACAAGAACAATAGCTCCCCGTACGGGCCAACAGATGTAATAACCTGCCCCCACCACTACGGTAAAAGGCAGATTAATTACATAACGCTAAATACGTCACGGGCAGTGCCTGGAGCTGACAGTGCTTAAAACTTATACTGGTTGAGGAGAAAGCATAACCTAGTAAACAGAAAATAATTCACCCACACATGCAAAAAAGCTCTCATAAACAAACTAATGATATTGGCAACGAAGAATAACATTTAATGCCCTTTACACAATTTAAACAAACAAATCAGATGTGCACACAAACAACCCAAATGCTTCATTCTCCCATTTCCCCAACGACAGTCAAAACTCCACAAGCCCCATAAATCAAAAACCAAGCTGCACCAACTTTCAGTCCAAATGTCCTCTTAGAAGGAAAGTTTGTTTGAAGGTGGAATGAGGGAAACACCCACTCAATCCATTCAGGCGTTGGCGTGCCAAAATAAAAAGAAGCAATCTCACCAGAATTTCAAGGTCCATTTATCGTGCCTCCCCTGCAGTCCTGGGTAAGAAAAAAGTTACTAATCCACCGCAATCCCGACTCGGGGTGATAAACAGTCCACAGGCAGTCCACAAGCAGTCCAGGGCAACGGCCTCATGCCAAATCCTCCTTGGCAGGTGCGCACCCAAGGCGAGAGGGGCGAAACACCGTCACATCCTCCTCTTTTTAAGTTCTCTTCCCCGCTGTCACCCCAAAACATATTTTTACACAAACAAATTTACACAAACAAATAAACAAGTTCAAACATTAATTTGGAAAATAATCATTACCTTGCAGGGGACAATAATTAATAAAAAATGGTCATATTTGCAGTGTAGAGAATATCATAAAATAAGGGGAAAAAATGGAAATACATCTAACGCTGTAGGAAACGGCCAGTGACCATTACACCCTGAGGCTGTTAGTCTCATGAATATCTAACCAGGATAATCACCATGAAAAAAAAATCACATCATGTTGCTGCTGATTTATTTCATGCTGCTGTGTTCATACGTACTCATCTGCTCACACAGACTCATGTTCGTGCTGCTGTTGTTTGGCATATTGTTTTTATGCTATTCGTGCTTAGCGTATTTTTAGTTGCTGTTTCTCTTAGTTCATATCTTAGATCTTATTACTGTTATTCTTTTACAATTTTTTTGTTGGATGTAACTGGGACCCAAAGTACAAAATCTTGTTCCACCACATGTACCACATGGGGTGAGAATGACAAATAAAGAAACTCTGACTCTGACTTCCATTCATTTTTTCATTCATTTCTATAGCCTAACCCTGACCCTTACTCTAAACTTAACCATTACCTAACACTAAACCTAATCCATCCTCAATTCACACCTTAGTCCTAAACCTAACCCTTAAACCACCATCGACACTTGAACCTTATGGGGACCGGGGTTTGATCCTCACAATGTGCAGTTGATCCTCACAATGTAGTATGTGTTCAACAGTGGTCCTGACAAAGTAGCATAAGAAAACACACACACACACACACACACACACACACACACATACAGATTAGACTATGGTACTTACAGGTACATCCACGTACTTTGAGGCAGCTTTTACCTTACATGAAAGAGAGAGAAGTGGGTGAAACTCATCCCTTCAACGTTGGCACTACATTTAAGAACAAAGTCTACCTTACAAACAAATTTATTGTAGTGCTCACAGAACCGGCAGACATAACTTGTTGAGTACTTAGTTGCAAAAATGTGCATAAAAATTCAATAACCTGGATTTGACAGTATAGTAGTATAGTAGAAAACCAGTGGAGGTGTTAACATGCTTCATGCTGACAGACATTATACAAAAAGTCAAACTTTATTAAATTAATATTGAAACTAAATTAAATGCCAACATTTTAAATGCAACATAACTAAACTATCAGTAATGAAAAACATTTCCTTTACTCGAGTGAGTGAATGAAGTTTCTACAGTGTGCTGACTATACCATAGGAACACATATCTTACTAAAGTAAGAATAAATTTGTTCCACTTACTGTAAAAGACAGGAAAGAAGAGAAGAGTGTGCCTTCATCATATCTAGACAGCTTGGACAATACGCTCTCTAGAGTGACCACAAACTGGAGGAACGGAAAGAAAGAAAAGGAAAAACAGCAAAGCATGTGCATTAAAATAAATTAATAAAGTACAAAGTCAGTTTCCAAATAATTGCTCTAAAATGATGGATGGATGGATGGATGGATGGATGATGGATGGATGATGGATGGAGTATGTATTAATAAATAAAACAGATTGCACTGCTATAAATTATTTGATATTTTTAACAATCATCCATCCATCCTTTATCTTTTGCCCGCTTCTTCCATTTTGGGTCACGGGGTCGCCGGTGCCCATGTCCAACAATCACTGTGCGAGGGGCGGGGGACACCTGGACAGGTCTCCAGTCCATCATAGGGACACATAGAGACAAACAACCATTCACTCTCTCTCTCTCATCTAGAGACAATTTAGAGTTACCAATCAGTCTAACATGCATATTTTTGGTCTGTGGGAGGAAACTGGAGTACCCAGAGAAAACCCACGCATGCACGTAGAGAACATGCAAACTCCACCCAGAAAGGCCTCTGGACCGGGATTTGAACCGAGGACCTGCTCGCTGAGACACAGCAGCTCTACCAGTTGTGCCACTATGCTGCCCTTCTTAACAATCAAATGCACAAAATAAGTTATCACTTATCTTCATAGCAAGACAAATCTACCATAAAATTAGATAAACAAGACACACTTTTCGCAACAAAGCGACGCTCCGGCCTTATGGCAACTGCGGGAGCTCCAGCTAGTCCACCCAGTTGCCATTGTGAACGCTCTTGTGCCAATCCCACATGTGTTCACCATAGGGTGCATTTCCCGAATCTTCGACATCGCTTTCCATCCATGTCGTTACTTGTCCAGCTGCAGATCTTACAAATATAAGCGAAATCTGACCTTCCAGACAGGAGTTATGGTGACTTCCTGTTTTGTGGTGAGTGTTTGACAAGCACTTCCTTTATGCTTTTCAACATGTCATGTGTGGTAATCAACAGTTAGCAAACAAAGTTTCAGTCTAATATTTTACACAGTGCGAAGCTGGAAGTGTCATCCAATAATCTGCATTTTTTCTCAGAGTAGGTGGGGCTTAAGTGATGTCATGAATCAACAATACCCATGTGTCTACAAGTGTTCACTGATGAAGCACAAAATCTCAGGTTCAGATTGGATGATGTATCACTGAGATTTAAATGTTGGAATAATGTAGGGGGCACACTTGAGCCAAATATTAAAGAACAATACCAATGTGTCTATGAGTGCTCACTGATCAGGCACAATAAATCTGGTACATATTGGATGATATATAACGGAGATGTTATTGTTTGAATAATGTAGGGGCTGCAATGGAGTCAAATGTTAAAGAGAACAATACCAATGTGTTTATAAGTGCTAAATGATCATCTACAATAAATCTGGTACATAATGGATGGTATTTCACTGAGATTTAACTGTTGGAATAATCTAGGGGCCTGACAGGAGTCAAAATTTTAAAAAAAAATATGTGTCTAGAAGTGCTCACTAATGACGCACCAAAAATCTGGTGCAGATCAGATGATATATCACTGAGATATAACTGATTAAATAATCTAGGGGACACACTTGAGTCGTTTGTTAAACCACAATATCAATGTGTCTAGACGTGCTCACTGATTATGCACAAAAAATCTGGTTCCGATTGGATGATGTATCACTAAGATATAACAGTTGAAATAATCTAGGGGGCACACTTGAGTCAAATGTTAAAGAACAATTCCAATGTGTCTATTAGTGCTCACTGATCACTCACAATAAATGTGGTACATACTTGATGATATTTCACTGAGCTATTACTGTTGGAATATTCTAGGGGGTGCACTCGAGTCATATATTAAACCACAATATCAATGTGTTTAGAAGTTCTCACTGATGATGCACATTAAATCTGGTTCAGCTCGGATGATGTATCACTGAGCTATAACCCTAGTAATAATCTAGGGGGTGCTGTGCAGGCTATTGGTTACTTATTATAGATACCTGTTCAAGGGTTGGTGAATGATCGATCATAGAGATTTTGGTACACCTTGGCTGATATCTGTGTAATTTAGAGCCAAACGTATTGCAACGGCGTCACTTCTTAATTCGCCATGCCACCACGCACACATCCTCCATCAAAAACAGTTTGCACTTAAAATCAAGTCAGACCATCTTATCTGCATTCTAAGACAGGATCATCCTGATTAGGTCAAGGGTGTCAAAGAGGGAGCATTCCAAGTAAAAAAAGGAGACTTCCTGTTCTGAGGGGCGGGGCTTTGATGACGTCAAAATATGACCACAGTGAATCGTCGGGTATCCAACAGGGATGAGTCATGCCAAGTTTGGTGCATTTCGGTCTTTCATTGTGAAAGTTATAGCGTTTGTAAATTTATGGCGTGAAGTACAATTTTGAGGCCTGACCACGCCCCTTTAGCCTAAACGAAACTGAAAGCTTTTGATAACTTTTACTCCACAATGTCTTAAGGGCATATTAACCAAGTTTGAAAACAATCCTTCAAAATCCCTAGGAGGAGTTCATTAAAATTCGCCATTAGAAACACCTAAAAATGACCCTTTGACACAAAATGGCCGACTTCCTGTTGAGTTTGGAATAGGGCTTCAAGAGACTTTTTAATAGGTCCTGAGAAGATACAGATGTTTGCCAAGTTTCAGAATTATCGGTCAAAAAATGGCTTGGGGCTAAGGTTTTAAAATATTCTAGGGGCGTTGTAGAGGCTATTGACCACTTATCATAGCTTCCTGTTCAAGGGGTGGATAATGATCGATCATACTGATTATGGTGAACCTGAGTTCAAATCTGTGGAATTTAGAGGCAAACGTATGGTGACGGTGTTACGTCTTACTTCGCCACATCGCAACGCCCACATGCTCCACCCCAAACTGTCAGTGTTGGAAAGCAAGTTACAACAACATGTCTTAGGTCACTGGATACACTATCATGCTGATCAGGGTTCAGATAGGGACAGTTCAACGTAAAATGTTACACTTCCTGTTGTCAGGGGGCGTGACTTAAGTGATGTCATGATTTGACCATTCAGTCTTGCAGGGGACTGGATGTGGATCAATCACTGAAGGCTTGATGTCTCGGACAGTTTTTGTGTAGGAGCTATTAACATTTCCGCTTTTCCACTAGCAATTATATGTGAAACCAGTCCCTTTTTCAGGACCAACTTCTCTGCTGTTCCCAATGTACCATGCTGGCCTGAATATGTGACATCAGAACACTGCTGGTCACTGATTGGTCAGGGGTTGGACTCACTGGTTGTTTGAGAAACTTTCACAACAATCCAATCTGCCTTTTTCAATATCTCAAACTTGGAGGAGCGACTGGACCTATTTTTAAGATTTTAAAAACAATTAAAGCTACAAGGAGCGTTGAAGGCCCTCGCAGCGAAGTGCCGCTGCGGCCTTACGGCGACCGCGGGAACTCGAGCGACTCTTCCCGGTCGCCATCGAGAACGCTTCTGCTACCGCCCTGCTCCCGTTCCCCGGAGTGCGCATTCACAGAACCTTTGACATCAGCTGCGACCGTGGATATAACTATTTTAATATTTAGGGGGCGCTCTAGAGTCAAAAGTTAAAAAACACTACTAATGTGTCCATAATTGCTTACTAATGACGCAACCAAATACTGGTCCAGATCGGACGATATATGACTGAGATATAACAGTTTGATTTATCTAGGGGGCGCACTTGAGTCAAATATTAAATAACAACACTACTGTGTCCATAAGTCCTCACTAGTCAAGCACAAAAAATCTGGTGCAGATCGGACGATATATCACTGAGATATAACAGTTTGAATTATCTAGGGGGCGCACTTGAGTCAAAAGTAAAACAACAATACCATTGTGTGTTTAAGTGCTCACTAATCACACACCAAAAATCTGGTCCAGATCGGATGACATATCACTGAGATATAACAGTTTGAATAATCTAGGGGGCGCACTTGAGTCAAATTTTAAACAACAATAACAATGTGTGTAGACATGGTCACACATTATGCCACAAAAATCTGGTGCAGATCGGATGATATATCATTGAGATATAACTGTTGCAATATTCTAGGGGGCGCTCTAGAGTCAAAATTTAAAAAACATTACTACTGTGTCCACCAGGGCTAAATAATAATACACCATAAATTTGGGACAGATCGGCTGATATATCACTGAGACAAAACAGTTTGAATATTGTAGGGGGCGCACTTGAGTCAAATATTAAACCACACAACTAAAATGTCCATCAGTTCTCAGTAATGACGCACCAAAAATCTGGTTCAGATCGGATGTTGTATCACTGAGATATAACTGTAAGAAGAATGTAGGTGGCGCTGTGGAGGCTCTTGGCCACTTATCATGGAACCCTGTTCAAAGGTGGATAATGATCAATCATAGTGATTTTGGTTCATCTGGGCTCCAATCTGTGCAATTTAGAGCCAAACGTATTGCAACGGCGTCACTTTTTAATTCGCCATGGCGCCACGCCCACATTCTCCAGCTATAACTGTTTTGTTGTTTAAATCAAGTCAGACCATCTTATCTGTCTTCTAACACAGGATCATCCTGATTATGTGAAGGGTGTCAAAGAAGGAACATTCCAAGCAAAAAAAGTCACTTCCTGTTCTGAGGGGGCGGGGCTTTGATGACGTCACAATATGACCTCAGGGTATCGTCGGGCATGGGACAGGGCTGACTCGTGCCAAATTTGGTGCAAATCTGTTTTTCAAGTTGAAAGTTATAACGTTTGGAAATTTATGGCGTGAAGCTCAACTTTGAGGCCTGGCCACGCCCCTTTAACAAAACGAAACCCAAAGCTTTTGATAACTTTTACTCTCCAATGTCTTAAGGGCCTAATAACCAAGTTTTAAGTCAATCCTTCAAAATCCCTAGGAGGAGTTCGTTAAAATTCGCCGTTAAAAAAGCCCCAAAATTAACCTTTGACCCAAAATGGCCGACTTCCTGTTGGTTTTGGACCGGAGCTCCAAGAGACTTTTTCATAG